ACACATACACATACACAAAAAATAATATTTTACAATTTCACAACATGGGCAAATTATATGAAATTCAAATATGGGTCCATTATTCAAGTTTATGTCCAGAGTTGAATGTTTATCCTGGAGCCCGTGTAGCCTGTGAAGTGTACTCTGCATTTTTTTTTTTTTTTTTTTTTTGTGTGTGTGGGGATTGAACTCAGGCTCTTGTGCTTGGCAGGCAGGCACTTATTCTACTGAGCCATCTCCCCGGCCTCTGAACTCTAACACTTCAAAGGACTTTTTTATTGTTTGCTTGTTTATTTTGAGATAGGATCTGGCTATGTAGTTCAGGCTGGCCTTGAACTCACGAGGGACCATGGCTCACCATGCAGTGATCCTCCTGCCTCAACCTCCCAAGTGCTGGGATCGCAGTTGTGTGCCACTACGCCAGGCCCTGAACTGCTCTCTGACTTCCTGTCTGGCGCTGTCACCTCCCACATGTGATACCATTGGCCAGCAGTCCCTCACCAGAGGACAAAGCCATGGGGCCACCTGATCTTGGCCTCCTCACCTCCAACACCGTGAGCTAAACAAGCTCCTTTCTTCATAAAGTGCCTGTTCCACGTGTGTCATGATAGTAATAGTATTCCCAACATCAGGTACCAAATGGACAGATACATCATGGTGTCAAGTGACTTTACAAAAAAAGAGGGGAGCCAGGTGTCATGATCACGCCTGCAATCTCAGCACTCTGGAGGCTGAGGCAGGAATGTTACCCAAGAGTTCAAGCCTGTGGGCTACATAATGAGACCCTGTCACACACAAAAAAGGGAAAAAATCCTTTTTTTGTTTGTACCAGGAATCAAGTTCAGGAGCTTGCCTGGCAGGTGCCGTGCCACTAAGCTGTATCCCCAGCCCCAAACACCCTTATGCGGTGGTAGGATCTTGTTACGTTGCTAGGGTGCTCTCAAAGTCATGGGCTCAAGTGCTCAGCCTCCTGAGAAGCTGGGGCTACAGGCATTTCCCACGCATCTGTCCAACTTTACAGACCTCTCTGAATGCTCTCATGGCCCCTAGCTCTGACTTGCTAATTCGAGGCGCACAGGTGTGAGGCGCCAGGAGCACCGCGACTTAACGCTGCTGCAGCCTACATTAGCCTGGAGCCTGAACTCTCAAAGGCGCTCGAGGAGGTCCAGACGAGCCTGGTGTGGAGGACTCGGCCTTTGCTGAAGGATCCCTAAGGGGCCTCTGGCCCTTGGGAAAATTAGACAAAGGCACCAGTGGGAGGCCGGACCTCGGAACACTCCACATGCGGGACAACTATTATACCCAGCTGGAGGTTAGAAAAAGCTCAGAAAAGCCCTGGGCTGCGCGGAGTGTTCTCCGGAGTGTTCTCCGTGTGTCCCGCGAGCTGAGCAAACGCTCTAAATCCATCCTAACTCGGTAAAGGAGCGATGCGTTGCACTACGAGCTGGATCTGATGTCTAACACCACACGATCACGTCCGAGACCGTGGACCCCGCCTGCAGGACTGCGGGTGGCCGCCTCCCCACAGCGAGGGCTGCTGCGGGGCTCTCGTCTGCACAGGCCGAGGAGCAAAACGCGGAGGAATTCCTCACTGCAAGCGAGGGGAGGGAGATGCGGACACGTGGGAAGCTGCCGCGGTTTGTAGAAAACATCAGCCAGTAAGATTTCACGGCAGCACACGCAGTGAATCTGTTCGTGACAATGCGACGATGCCACGAGCTCCACTAACTCCTCCGAAGGAAGCACGCGTGGTTGGGCAGGCTTCTTGTGAGCGCTGCGCACAAGGGACAAGCTTCCATGAAGTCAGGTCCCTTAGTGATGGCGAGAGGCGTCCTACCCTCTCTTCGCTCTCACCCCAGCCACAAAAGGCTTACAAAGGTGAATACAAGTTAATTTGCTTATTTTTCTTTACATTTTGTATTTTCTTGATTATTTTGTATTATAGCATGACACTGTAATCATTTTTATATGAATATTTGGGGGCTGTGGAATGAATCCTCTTAAGTGTTCATTTCTTCTTATGGGGAAATTCACATTAATATACAAGTGCTTTGGATTGCAAGCATGTTTCCAGAACAAATTATGCTTGAAAGTCAAAGTTGGACAGTATTTCATTTCAAAAGGGGTTTACTTTAAATAATGGGCCAGTAAGATAGCTCAGCGGTCTAAAGCTTAGGCATGCACAAGGACCACAGTTCGATTCCTGGAACCACGTGCCATGCCAGCAATAAATAAATAAATAAATAAAAATAGAATATTCTTTGCCAATTGGCAACCGGCGAGGGTGTGCCAAGTCAGGCACACACTCAGATGTGTGCTGCTAAGCCACCTTCATTTCCATCATTCTCAATCCAGTGTATCTGGTGCTGAGGAGGACCGCGGGTGCGACCCGTAGGTGCACAACCTAGTGAGAGAGGTGGGCCACGGTAGGACTGGGGGGTTACCTTCAGGTGCTTCAGGAAGGTGTCAGCATGCTGAAGAGAGCCCTTGATGAAGAAGGTCACCATCCCCGGGCAGCCCGTGCACTGCCGCTTGGCCAGCTCATGCTGTGGGTGAGAGGGCAGCCCTGCAACCATGGGAGGACAAGTCTCCTTTCAGTGCCCAGCACATAACTTCTGGGCCAAAGCTTCACCATCCTCACGTGGAAGCTGTAAGGAAGCCTAATGATGAGGCAACAGTCCCTGGCCACCGCCCTGGCTTTATGTGCATGGCATTTGTGGCCCTCCTTGTCCCAGCCACACTGCGCACTCCACCCCAGCAGCAGCTCCCTGCCTTTCCTCTCAGAACCTCTGCATGTTCAGTTGCCTCTTGCTGTAGTTCCCTGCTTAACACCAGGCATTAAGGAAAGCTCAGGGCAGTGTCTAAAGTTTTAGATTCTATTGTAGTAAAAGGCCAATGACTATGAGTCCCCTCAAAACCCTCCCCACTTGGAGCATACCCAGCCCACCATCCCAGCCATGTCCTGCAGCAGCTCTGGTGTCCCATGTCCTGAGGGTCTTTAACTGTGCTGTCTTGGCTGCCTCAATGTCCTGACCCCATTCAGAACATTTCCTGTTCCTGGTCACTCTGACTTTGGGAAGAAGCCAGAAGCCACATAGTGCCAGATCAGTCACCATATTTTGCATGACACTTTGTAAAGACACTCAGGAGTGAGGACTCCAGAGCTGCTGCAGGATGTGTCAAGAATGATAGGCTAAGTTGTATTCCAGGACTACATGGTGAGACACTGCAAAAGGATCTTTAGGAATCAGTTAACCTAACATCACCGCAGTTTAAAGCCAGGTACAATAAATTTTAAAACCTAACACGAAGTCTGTTAATTCCATGAAGGACCTGTAGGACTGTAGAGGGGGAAGATTCAAAAGAAAGAGTCCCGGAGAACTGAGGCCCCTAAGTATTGAGTCTCAGGGACACAAATGTCTCTTGGAGGAAAGCGAGAACAATCCTGAGGACAGAGTGAAGAGGTTGTAAACTAAGCACCCAAGAAGGGCAGTGGGGTGCTCCTGGATCAGCACACGCAAGCCTGAACGCTGAAGACTATCAGGAGCAGGGCGGATTGGGATGACTTTCCCAACTCCCAAGCATTCCCCAGACCAAAGAGCACGTCTGTCTGCTACCCATGGCGCCACACAGCACACGATGGACAAATGGGGCCTGGAAGCGCTCATCTGCGGTCCCAGGACTCTACGCAGCTGAGGCAGGAGGATTGCAAGCTCCAGCTCAGCCTGAGCAATTTATCGACTTAGCAAGACCCTGTCTCAAAATTTTAAGGGCCAGGGAGATGGCACAGTAAAATAAAGGCTTGCCTGGCAAGTGCAAGGGCCTGAGTTCAATCCCCAGCTCTGAAAAAAAAAAATTTAAAAATTAAAAAGCTGGGGATATAGGTTGGTACAAAGGCCTTGGGTTTTAATGCCAATAAAAAATAATAATAAATAAGTAGCCAAATGTATACGAAAACACCTAACTTATAAACTCACAAATAAATGATGTCAGACACAGTGGCACATGCCCATAATCCCAGCACTCAGAAGGCTGAGACAAGAGGCTCACTGAGAGCTCAAGGCCAGCTTGGGCTACAAAGTGAGTTCAAGGCCAGCCTGAACTGCACAGTGAAACCCTGCCTCCAAAAGATAAATAAATATTTCACAAACAAGGAGCTCTGAGTGACACTTAAAGTCCTGGTAGAAGCCTAGCTGCTTAGAAATCAGACCAATAAACCAGGTGAGGGACATCTGTAATCCCAGCACTCTGGAGGCTGAGGCAGTATTACCACAAACTGGAGCCCAGCTTGGGCTACATAGCAAGATCCTCTTGTGTCAAAGAAAACAAGAAGGAAGGAAAAAACAAAACAAAACAAAACAAAACAAAAACGAAGGAAAGAAAAAAGAAATCAGATGAACATACCAGGATAAAAAACCCTCTCTACCCGAGGGTCAGATTCCAGGAACCGCGCCACGGCCATCCCATTTTGGAAATGCTTCTCCATTCGGATCTGCAGTGTCTTGAGGCCACGAATGCACAAGTAACAGTCAAAAGGAGATGGCACTGTCCCAAGAGCTGCAAAGTGAGTGTGTCTTGGGTTAGTGGTGCCATCAGGGGCTGGGACATCTGTAGGCCCCACCCCAACATTCCCACCCTTATTTCTAGGGTGACTGGCAAAAACAACCCAGAGCTCTGCAGGGGAGACTTGGGCAGAATTGCTGGATTGAGTCAGAGCATGAAATATGCCTTAAAATAAGAGAGAAGCCTGAGTCGGGAGGATCCCCATGAGTCCAAGGTCAGTCTGGGCTGCACTGAGTTCAAGGCCAGCCTCAACTTCATAGCAAGACCTTGTTTCAAAAAACCAAACAGAGTTTTAAAAAGGTGGAATGAATCTCTTGTAAACTATGTAAAAACACAAAAGTATGAACTTTTCAACTGTGACGATAAATAGCCCTTTGGAAGATTGGGAGGTCGGTGATGGAAACGAGGTCTCGCTATGTAGTCTAGGCTGTCCTTGCCCTCACTGTGTAGCCCCCAGTGGCCTCATGCTCACGGCTGTCCTCCGGCCTCAGCCTCCCAAGTACTGGGCTTACAGGCATGCAGCAGTACTCCCACCTCCAGCTTTTCGATACTTACTATTTTGTAGGAAACGAAGTCGGCTGTGGAGCTCATCAGACTTCACCGACACTAAGCCCATTACCACGTCACTGTGACCTGCAGCAGAACGAAACTGTTCAAGGGAGAATAATTTGTGTTTGTTCTTTACTTTATAATTTCCAAAATGCAGCTTTTCTTTGAAAAAGTTCTCGGGGAAAAAAAGTGCTCTTAAGTAATTTAAGTGAACTTTATTCAATTTGACAGGAGCAAAATCTATTCCTAAAGCAATAAAATAAAAAGTGTGTAAGAGCTAAACATTTCCTTCCAAGGGTAAAAGCCTCATCTTTGACAGTAAATTATAATCTTTTCCTCCCGAATCATGAGCACAGTTTTGCCTTCTCTAAATTAAATCCTATTATTAATCAAAATACATAGATTTTTTACTTTGTACTTGAGTCACAGATAAAACCGATTTAATGCTAGAAGGAAAAGCATCAAAATGTCCATGCCTTTGTTACCTTTCGGCCCTAGAAAGGCCGAGCAGGCAGCAGGCTGCACACATCTTACCATTCATGTATTTCGTGGCAGAGTACATGCAAATGTCCGCTCCCAGAGCCAGAGGCCGCTGAAAGACAAAGCAGGCTTTGTTTTTTTTTGTGTTTTTTTTTTTTTTTTTGAAGTAAAAGTTCACTTTTATTTTTTTGCTTATGGTATACTTTAATTCCCAATGCACATTCACTCAATGAC